CTCTCTGTGTATGTAAGTGCTTCTTCATTGCTCTCCCTCTGTTGTTTCTGCGGATCCTTCTTACTATATCCTGGCGCAAATTGATCATTATTGTGGCAATATGTTTCTCATTACACACACAAATCAAATGTTTTGTTGACATTGGTTTTCTAGTAGAAAGGCTGTTGAAGGAAAGCAGTTGGGATTATGCAGTTCAAAGAAAACATGTTCAAATAATAGCTCAAAAGAAGAATGTTTATCGATAAAGGCAAAAGAGTAGGAGAAAAGTTTTGTTGGATTAAATAAAGCTAGAGGAGAATAATTGTAGAATAAAAGTAATTAAGGAAACATTTTGTCAGTGAGAGTTAGTAATAGGGAAGTTTATGCAATTTTAGAACATTAGTTAACAAGGTGTTTGTAAAATGATTATTAATAATGATTTTTTGGGGATAGCAGGGAAGGGATGTTGATGGAATAAGTAGGGACTGTTGAATTCAGTGCAGCGGTCTCCTATTGAATTTTGATTAAAATGACTTTTGAAGTAGAACGATGCCTTATTTCTACCACCTGGCCGCAGGGCAAAGAAAATTAAAAACTGATTTGATTATCTCTGTAACTGAAGTGGATTTTGGGGGGGGGGGATTCTGTCTTCTCGACAAGGGCTTCAGCATAGTATAGGGTGTGGTGGGTTGGAGGACGCTACTGGTAGGACCTACATTACTTTTTCTCGTCCGTCGTTTCTGTTAATTGTACTTTTACCCTCTGTAAAATGGCTGTGACTTTGCTACTTTTCCCTCCGACTTGACAGTGGGAAAGTCTAGTGAATTAGTTTCAGACTCGTGTTCATTTTTTTTATTTGCAGAAAATCCGAAGGATGTTCCACCCCACCAACAAGTGGGGACCGGCACACAAGGTTCCCAAATTTGATCTCGACGTAGAAACAGGCAAGGCCAGGACTGTGACCAACCCGGGGTTTGGAACTCCCGAAACAAGAATATAACGTGCAGTTTCTGATATCTGTTCTCCACATACGTACTGGTCTTTGTGTTAGCTATAGCTACTGTGTCTAGGTTTTTTCTGCTGCAGTGTCAAGAGTATAGAGGGGTGTGCAGTGTAAGGATGGTGAGTTCTGTTACGAAGACATTGAATGAACAAATAAAATTGAGCTGTTTTTATTCCAAGTTAAAAACGATATTGAAAAATTTTCTCATAATTATATATGGAGCTGAACTAAACTGTCCCGAAGAATCAAAATGGGGGAGGGGGAGTGTTTTTTAAAATGTTAATAAGATTATAATAAAGATAATAATAATAATAATAATAATGATAATACTAATTGTATTTGCATTTACATGACGCATATCCCTGCTCCAGAATAAACTGTGGACTTTACAATATAAGAAATAGAACGGACATTACTCATGAAAATGAGAAATTACAGGTCTTATCAGCAAGAGAGAAATGATTACTGTTGTTTTGGACATTTTGCCTAGAGGAGAACTCCTGGTCAAGTAGGACCTCAGTGGTGGAAGTTCCAGAGGACATTCACTGTTATCATGTAAAGGGTGGACAGTGTGGGCCAATGGGCAGATATCGATGACTGTGGTCTGGCTTGAAATTCCTCTCAATTGACCACAGTTGATCACCCGGCGTTGCTGGATTACTGCTGCTGCTGCTGCTGCTGAAGTAGGCCCCGGAGGACACTGGTCACTGCTGGTGATCTTACTCAGGAGTTTCATGTCCTGTAATGGCTTGAGGATTTGACCTTTCCTAACTATATGCAGTGCTCAGATTTTATTTCTCTCTACTCACCTATGTATACTTCAGAGTGTTAAGCAGTTGATGCTGGATTTGAAGACATATTTTTATACTCTGTAATATGTGGGTGGTATAATATGATAAGTCAGAATGTTACTTCAAAGATTGGTATGAGGTTTTGTCTCACAGTTTCGTAAATATACCTGAAATAGTTACTGCATATCCCCCTTTGCTTTTGATCTGTAAGAAAAAAAGAGGATGCGGTTGCTATTTTTCCAGCTGCTCTTTCTTTGAGTGGTCCATGCCCTACAGCCCAGAGAAAGAGAAAAGAAAAATGAGGAATAGTTGTTGATCTAAAGTGTTTTAGATAGTGAAGGATGATAGACTTGAGCATGGATCTCTGTGATAGGCTTTCATCCGCAAGAGGAAATGTATTTTGATCTCTAACTGCACATCCGTGCATCTTCTGCTGGCATTATACTACACCGCTGTCTCTCAGTTTGTATATGTGCACCTGCTCCTGGCATTGTATCACCCACAGTCTCTCAGTTTGTATGTGAGGGTGTGGAACATGAATCTCTTTGTACTCATGCAAGTTTTCTCTAAGACAGCCACAGAAACTTTTGCCCTACAGCACCGCTGTGTATGTTGTTGTAGTCTCTCTTATTTATACACAGATGGAATCTCTCTCGTCTTTTGCTTGTTGCCAAAGGTTTTGTGTCATTTCATTTTTAATGACTACCGAGAGTCTTTTTAAAACTTTAAAATGATGGAATCTCGAATGTCCAACAAAGCACTGGTATGTTTATCGGTGCGGAATATTTATAAAGAATCTCCTCTATTATTGTTTCCTGTTACATTATTACTCAGCACGCCTGCGAACACTGATCAGCTGACTTGTGAGGTTCAAGTCTGGAGTTGTTGTTTTTTTTGACTAGTGCCCAAACTTGTGTGAAAAGACATACTAGTTTAGAGATTAGGTTGTGTGCGCTGTTGATTTTGGTTGGTTTGTTTTCTTTGATTAGTGTAGACTGCTCGAAGGAAGAGAGAATAAATCGTTATTTCCGTTCCTTACACCTGTCTGTTTATCGCACTGTCTTCTGCAGATTGGCATTCTCAGTGTGTGGGGGTCTGTTTTTGTTTCTTTGTGTTGTATTTTTTTCTGAGAGTTCCAACTGCCCATGTTTTTGCTCCTGACTAACGAAAATGACTCTGGATTTGTTCAAAAGTTCAAGTGGGATCCATCCCTAATATCAATAGTGCACATTTGTGCCTGACATTCTGTCTAGCAGACATGTTCTCTTGCGCAAATAAAGATTGATACCTAAAAATGCACCTCAGCATTCGTTTTTCTAACTTTCTAATGGACTGGGTGAGGTGGTGGTTTCAGTAAATGTGTGTTCCAATCCAAAAGTGGTTGTGTTTTTTGTTTTGTTTATGTCACTATAACAACAAAGAATCTGAGTGAGAAAAAAAACCAGGAAATGCCTTGTAATTGTTCATCACCTCACGGCGTCGAGCTTTGACATCTTTACAGCACCTCCATTTTGTTTCTCATCTATCATGCACTTATTTCTCCACTATTTCTGAGCCGCAAAGTGTTGTTCTGTGAGTTGGGTTACTCTGCTTACTTTTATTTCCTCTGTGCTTTTGCCCTTTTGTTTTCTGTGGTTGTTTATATCAAGTCAGGTATCTTTATTTTAAAAAAATTATAGTGACAAATTTACTATTCTTTAGATCTTGAAGCCCATCTTGTTGTTAAAGGTCATCTCTATCCAAGAAATACTACGAATTCTACTTCCGGTGTTAGTAGTTTTCGCACAATTATGTTGCATTTTTTTGCAAGTGATTTATGCTGTTCTTTTCATGACATGCAAACAGTAAAGAATGTTGGACGTATAACATTAGGGATTGTTAAAAACTCATGGTCAACTGATTATTTTTCCGATAAAGGTTTAGGTGTGTGGCCTAGTCACTCGACATGCAAAAAGTTACTTTTAGGGTATGATTTATTGTGCGATGTTCTTTGGTTTATGAAGGAATTTATTTTGCCCTGTCAGTGTTGTGTTACAGTGTGGATATCGTCGTTAAATTTCAACATCACAGGGCAGCTATATTAATTTCATGATGGTTATAGGGGTGTGGTCGTTTTCAGAGTGTGCATACTCGTTTTCTGAGTGTTGAAGACTGTTCTTTTCTCATTGTCATTTATTCTGACAATGTCTCTCTCCCAGGTTATTTTGGGTTGTTGTTTTTTTTATTTCTGTGTTAACTGAGATTGCTTTGAAGATGAATGAAACTGAAAAGGCATTTTCCAGAATGTTTTTATCAGAAGGGAAGAGAATTAGTGACCATTCAAAGGTGAATGTTGTTTTGAAACTTATATATACATATATGTATATATATTATATGTCTATATGTAATATGTATAAATGGTATGTGTTTATGAATATTTACCCATCCATGTGGTTGAGTCTGTATCGTTTCGTTGCTTAGAGATCTCCAGCACACCCAGAGAATTGTCCTAACTATACAACACAGAATTTACCGGTGTCATTTCAATCTGGTCCCCTTGTGGACACGATGCTTTTTGCCCTTGTCTAGATGTGTCCATTTGCCTTTTTCTCTTATATATTTATTCATTTTGTCTGGTTTTGGTTTTGCCATCATTAGTTTAAACTTACTGTGAAGTAGGGAAAGATTTTGATAATGTGCTATCGAGAACTCCCTGCCTGCAGTTTTTGTTTTACATTGTTCTCTTGTCCTCCTTTGTCATGTCAACTATCTGTCTAGCCCATCTTTTTATCTTTATAAGGATTGAGTCCAGCCAGTTTGGGCAAGAGCAACAAGTAGAAAGATACGATATATCATACAACTGTTCTTATTGTCTTAGACATAACCAAGTGTTTGTGTCCTCAGTATTGGCACACTGAGCCAAAAGACAGTTTCTGCCCTCGGAGGTAGGCTTTTCTCTTTCCTGCCTTTTGTCGTAATCTGTCTCTTGGCCTTCACGTGACCTTACAGTGCCAAAGATGGTTTAAAGTCCCAACTGGGTTCCTTGTGTAGAGATGGTAGGGATATATTGTGCTGCTGACTTGTCTTGAGGTTTTTGTGTAGTTTCTGGCACGGCTTTGTTTCTGTGTTCTCATTTCTCCCCCTCCTTTGTTTCATACGACATTTATGATAAGGGGAGTGGGATATATGGGAAGTTTGATGTAGCCATGCACCTATCGCCGTGTTGAATCAGTGAGAGCCAACATTGCGGCTCCAGTCTGTTGTTTGGCAGCCATTGTTGTTTTCCCCCTACAGTGTCCCACGGTTGCTTGCGTTTGCCCGTCAGGATAGCTGTATTTATTGTACGGGTGCTCGTGTTTGTGTGTAGTTTGGCATTTGTTAAATAACAGGGGGTCCTACAGAACTTTTGTTTCTTTCAAGAATGTGTATGTGTTTAGGAGGGGGGGGGGAGGAAGAATTTGCAGTAAAGGACTGGAAAGAAAGAAAAGTGTGCCTGCTACATAGGGCCAGTTTTTTTGGTGCTTATTTCTAGTATTTCGGTTCTCAGATCTGTTTAGTTCAATCAGTTTATTTTTTAGGAAGTTAGAAAATGTGAACATGACAATGTCATTTTATTTGCACTCTTTACTGAACAAATCCTTATTTTGACAAGATCAGATGGTTGGAGGGTGCTCTGGTGTGGTTTGCTCCTTCTTTCCTATCAAACATCTGTCATCTTTTTCTCTCCTCCTTCTATTTTATGTTTGTTACTCTTTTGTAACACCTCTAATCTTCGGCACTTATATTATGACCTTATTGGGTTGCAAGTGCCGTAAAACTTTTAGGCCTACTAAAAATGTGGTAGGCTTGTGGATAGGTATATTCCTGTGTGCGTATGAGTAGCAGCATTTGTGGACGAATGAGAAGATGAACACATTACCTTAATTTTTGCAGGGCGGTACATGGGAACAATTTTGAAACTCTCCTTGATAAAGATTGCAAGACTCCCCAAGCTGTTGACTTGCTTTAAACACATTTTGACCTGTGAAATAGTTCTAATTTTGGAACAGTACTGATGTATCTCGTAGGTGAAAGACGTTTCATTGGCTAGAGGCTTCAGTGCCATGTACATTCCTTCATGAAGCTTATCATAAACTTTGATTTTCTTGTAGAATGAAGCTGCCAATAGATTCACCTGGTTTGACATTTTATGGCTTACCTGTTTCTTAGAGAACAAATTGATTCAACTTCTGCGTTATGGAATATTAGTAGGACTTTGGATGCTTTTGAGAATGGCTCATTGACTATCGTCCTTGAGCATTGGAATGAAATTGACAAGGCAGGTTTCTGTATCATTTAATGAATTATTTGTTCATTTTAAGACACTCAATTGCTCTGATATGTCGGGCACTCTGCTCTTGACCGAGAATGATTTAGTTGTAGTTTCAACACATGCTATGGGTTTAGAAATCAGCTCTTCGGGAGTCTGTGTTCATAAAGCATTTTGTAAAGTTTATCAAGTATATCTCCATATTGTGTTCTTTCACGCTCATTAACTGTTTTATCGCTCAAGTCATCTATTTTGTTGTCATTCACCAAATTATTTAAACAGGATCTTGTCAGAGGAATTTGTATGCCAAGTAAAACTCTAGTAGTGAGAGGGAAAATGCTTATATGAACTGCCTATTTTGTTGTTGTTACTGCCTTCGCAATTGTCTCAAATGGAAAAAGTGTAGAATGTTGCCAGTTTTCTTTCAGCTTATAGACTTTCAAAGCCTTCAGTCTGTGCTGTTAGTGCATTATGATTTTGCTGAAAGATAAGCTCTTTATCTCAGGATGGCATATCTTCCTTTGTTGGATTGTTCACAACAGAAGGAAAGCACCAATAACAATTTGACAGTGCTTGCAGGTTGATGACTTTATTTAGGTTTCTTTTATTCTTTTCTCCAGTTTTTTTTCTCTGCTCAGTGTCTCTGGTCAATGCAGACAAAATTTGTGAGAGACTGAGGTCATTTATATAGAAACCAGATGCACTGTTAATTGTAGAAACTGCATGTGACTGCCTCTTTGATGTAGCCAGACATGGGGAACAAATGAAAAAAAAGGTCTACTGATTCTCCAGTTTTGGCTTTTCCAAATCTTTGGAGACTGATGATTGTGCCAATGTTTGTTTTATTACATTCTTTACTTGAGATAGGCCTCTTTGTTCAAACTTTGAAGCACTTGTTGCTTTACTCTCCATCCTGGTGTATTGCCGTTGGTAGAATTTTTGCACACAGTATAATGTTCAATCATTAAGAAGATTTTAATTTGTACTATAGGTGACAGTTTCTCTGTGTTCCTTGGGTTTTTTCCCTGGGTTTTTGAGTCTTGTACTTTGGTAGGGGAAAAGTTTTATTTCTTTTTTTTTCTTCTTTCTAAGGCAGAAAAGGATGGGGTTTTAGGGGGCGCATATGTGATGGAATTTGAGATACAGTGTGCCGAGTGCTTGTTTACTTTGAACGTAATTTATGTACGTGAGTTGACGCGCTTGTGTTGTTGCGAGGTGAATGGGTGCTTGCTGCAGCCGGCTTGCTGTCTATACAGCACTGATGCTGCAAAACAGGTTTGGTCTAAGGTGGGGGTGGAGAGTTAAAATTGGTGTTCCACAAGCTTTTAATTATCTGCCTGTTGTTTATTTAAAGGTAGTTTTAGCCCATTGGCAGATCAAGTTTGCTATTGATTCTGCTAGCATGTCTCATCATTTGCACTGTTTTCAAGTATTTCTCAACTTTTGAGATTCTAGAAGAAATAGATGCACCAACTTGTTTTCCAGTCCTGTCTGCCCAACTGCTCTGTAGAGGGTATACCATATATTTCTCTCCAGTGCTTATGCTATGACGTTACCATGTTGTTATATCTGTTGTGATAGTTTTTATTTGCTCTGCTTTCTCCGGCTTGATTTCCAAGTGAGGGAAGGGAACCTTTATCTTTTATTGTATATATTTTCAATTTTCTTGCATTATGTAAATGTATGTTAAGTTCACATGATATAATGATATATGTATGTTTTAAAAAATAAAAAACTTTTTTTAAAAAGCAGCCAACAAAAAAAAAACACGTAAGCACAAAGAATTTACTTTTATATGGAAATAGCCAGACAGATGAGTTCTTGTATTGTCTTCTTCACATCTTCACATGTTGTAATGCATTGTCTTCTCACGTCTCCCAGTTCTGCTCCTTGCAGGGCTATTTGTCCAATCGAAAGTCTTTTATTTATTTAACTTGTACTACCCGGATACCTGGACTGACGTCTTCCAAATAATTACACAATGTATGATCAATGCACCGCATGGCTGGTCTAAGCCAACTGGATAGCTGGATTTCTTTGGGCATGTCTTTTCTTTTTGTGCTGTATGTCATTTGACAGTTTCTGACAGTTTAGGTTTTTTGTGTGTGTGTGTCATGTTTTTTTGTTTGTTATTGTTTGTGTGTGTGGTTGTTTTTTGTGTGTTTTGTTTGGGTTTTTTTATTATTGGATTTTTGTTTGTGTGTGTTCTTTATATGATAAAAGAATTGTGTACTGATTTCACATCTTGTGTCGATATCATGTGAACTGAAAGCTGTCTATGTACGGTAATGCTAGATATGTTTTTCTGTGTCTGTTGTACTGTGTGTGTGTTTATTCCTGTCTTTGAGGGCATCGTTATCATCTTTGATCATTGAATCAGGATCCCCCATCACGGTTGATTGGTTTTATATTCCATTTGAAATAAAGCGCTGGAATGCCTCAGCGGAAATTTTTTCAGTAGCTTATTCTTCTGAGAGTCCTGGAGTATTTTGATTGCTTTTGACATGATGCTCTCGAAATTAAGATCCAGTAGACAGTTTAGATGAGGGATGTTATTCAGCTACTCTGAATAGTTTTTGTACAAGTTGATTCGGCACCTCCCCTTAAAATTAATTTAATTTTAAGACATCAAAAGACCTCGTTGTTTCTTTCATTTGTGTTCCAGACGTTCAATGAGAATTAAATATGAAAATTTGCATAACAATAGTAAATGTTAAAGAGCTATGTCTGGAGTTTTTAAAGACTCACTGTGGGGAAATAAATACTGGAGTTTTGATGAAAGATGTTGGTGCTGAGTGGACCAAAATGCTTATTTGGAATCAACAAGCTGGCCAAAGAAGCTATTGGGAAGTCATGTGAGCCTTTAGGGGAGTACAGTTCTAGAAATAAGCTCTTGAACTTAAGCAATGAATGGCAAAACTTGACTCAGATCTACAGCATTAGAAATGCTTTTTTGGTTACCCCTGTTCTCTTTATGGATTACCACTTTTCTGCAGTCTTGGAATTTGTGAGTTTTGACCCTGGAGCCCTTCAAATTTTGTAGTTTGCCAAAGAATTCATTTCCTACTTGTGATGATGTTTTGGGGGAAACCATGTGGCTCAATGGAAAAAAGAAGTCTGCCAGAATGGTATATATCAGCATTAATGCCCTGTGTAATCATGTGTTGTAACATTGCCCTCCTACCCCTCCCCCCACACATGTCCGTTTGTGTACATAGTGTACAGAAGTTCATCTCCTTTTGTTTGGATATTTCTCTTTTAAATCTTGTTGACATAAAGTTTGTGTTGCAGCATAAGCGTACTGTTTGTTTTTGGTTTTTTTGGTTTTTCAATCTGTAGATGGTTTCGGGTAATGTTACAGTTATACCTGTAGTTGACTCATTATTTCTTTTATTTCATTTCTGACTATAATTTACCTTAATTTGTTTTTGGATTGTTTTAACCATCTGATCTGATGTGACCAAACCAGGTTGATTCTTTTTCGTGTCGTATGTGATTTGCTTTTTAACAACAGATGGATGTTATTTTTATCCTAGAATGGACTTGTCAGCCATCCTGTTTAGCAATGCACACTTTTACTGAAATAACAATGGTCTGGCTGCGTCAGCCATTGTCTTCGTCTTTGAATTGACTCTGGGGGAGAAGTAATTTTAACTGGTCGTTGCTTTGAAACTTTATAAATTATTCAATTTTGTAAAGGGAAAATGTTTTATGATTCTTATTCAAAGTACTGGAACAACTTGCAGTTGAATACGTTTTAAACTTGAATCTTTCATTTATTTGTCATTTTCACGTAAGATGGTGCGGTAAATTTTCATAACTCAGCACCGTGGTGTTTGACTTAAAACAACAGTGATCAGTTAAAGAAGTGAAACAAAAAAACAACACAAAACAAAAAAACAACTGGCCTCTTGTCAAGGCTGAACATCTACATTTTCTCTCCTTGATGGTTCCACAAATTGGCTAGCGGATTGTCTCAGGGCAAACCCCCCACATAGAAGTTTGTCTAAACAGGACTGGCTGTGGCTTGGTTCTTTGACAATATGTCAAAATGTTTTGTTTTATTTGATTGGATAATCAGTTTGCAATCCAAATTTTCTGCATTTTTCAGTTGTAACTGATGGTTTTCAGATTAACCCCCTT